CATCCACAAGCTCCTTGGCTTACAACGACCCTGAGAATGTAATTTGTTATGTTATTTGGAGTTGTCCTGGGGTTTCTTAGTTCCAAAACCCTTTTACATCAAAACCAGAATGCTTTGGCTCATAGGAAAATTGGCTACTGGGAGCTCTGTGGCCATCTTCTGGAAGTCTAGAAAAATGCGTCAGCTATTTACAACTCCCACTGAGCTAACTAGTGGTAGTCTGTCCTATGTTACAGGCAGTAATGTTTTATTTTCTTAGGACTAGGAACACATTAGACTTGCCAGCTACATATTTGTGTATTTACAGAAAAGTAGGTCCTAAGAGAGAAACGCAGCTAATGTTTCATTACTCTTGTGTTACCTCTCTATATGATTAATTAAAAGAGTAAACACAAGCAGAAAATGGTAGATTTCTCTGAAGTTTCACAACTCTCATTCTCATTGGAATACTTGTACTATATTTTTAGGTGTGCACAGCATATGATTATGTTGCAGGTTCTTCAGCTGGTGTAAAGCTCATCAGGGATGAAGCAGCAGGCAGAGACTTTATGACTTTTTGCCATTTCAAACAAATGTGCATTTGTATAGTACCTAGTAATTTGAAAAATATTGTTCTGCTATTTAATTTTAACCACCAACCTCAAAAAGCACTCTCAACAGCTGACTATGGAAAAGCATTATGTACTGCGTTAGTTATACTTGATGCAGGAGAGCAGCAACACAGGAAACTCTCTTGCTGAGACCTATATATAAAAGAGCTAGGCATCTTTAAGACTGATAGAATTGTTGTGTAAAAATGTTCTTTTTTTATTTTGAGGGAAACTTCACTTCTTGGTCAGTTAGAAGTTAAGCAGTATTTTCCAACAAGATTGCTTTTATTTTGCTAAATCTTTCTTGCAGTCTTTTCTCCACCTCTCCTCCAAAACCAGGATATTGTCAGGATAAAAATGTTCCAATCAAGAGGGGCTGTGCTAGCATGAAGATTTCTTAACGATCACAGATGGCAGGAGCTGTGGCTGTGGAGCATTTCTAAGGGACTGTGAGAGCTTGTTCAGACCAATTACGTTATTGTTTCAGCACCCTTGTAGAGCAGAGAGTCATTATGCT